TTAATGCGTCTGCTCGCAAAAGAGGATCCATCTGAATGGGGGTATACCTCGATAACATTAAACACTTCATTTTTCAATTGGCTTTGTAACACGAAACACTTAAATTTTAGGCATTTTAACACTAACAGTAAAAAATTCTTTAAAACAGTATATTTTTTTCCAGATTGAAGCAAAAACGGCTCTAAAAAGGCCAATACTATTTTGTTTAGTATATCAAGGAGTTTCCGGCCATTTTACGACAATTCCGGATTATTTCAGAAGATTTCCGAAGGCTACCGACGATTCCCGAAGAGTGTCAAAGATTTCCGAAGTCTAACGAAGAGGTCCGACCATTGCCGAAGATGTCCGAAGAACCCTCCAAACACTATTACGAAAAGTATTTTCTTCGGAAACAGTAAACATTAAAAAAATTGGCCAATTTAACAGCAAATACTAAAAATTAAGGGCAAATAACACTAAACACTAAACCCCATTCAGACCCTCGTAAAATGCTTTACGATCGATGAAATTATGAAGTCAATCATAAGCATTTGCTATATCGTTTGAGAATCGGATATCTGTTTAATGAGGTCCGGCAGTAGGGCTGTTAAGGATATTACGGCCCGAACAGGGTAGCTACCTTCTCTTGCTACCTATTTTTGTCTTGAAAGCGTCTGAGAACTCGATTTGTTGGGAAGTTCGTTTGGAAGTTTGGAAGTTTGTTTCGCTGTTTTACCAGTTCCCAGTCCCCGCCGCGTAGCACCCAATCCAGGACAGTACAATGGCGGCCAATTTTGTGAGTATACCAGGCACGATTTACGGACAGGTTTTCAGCATAAGCTTTCGTGTAAGCGGCTTACAGGGCTTACAAGCTTTCCGGTTATAAATTAAAATACCGTAAGAGACTGAAATTTTCTCTCATGTGATTTTCTGAAACGCAGCATGTCAGCTCAAGTTACTCATTTGCTTGTCATGTCAGTTCTAAAGTTAAGTATTTTGGAAAGGTAGCGAACGTTTAAGTGAGGATTCGAGGGGAAGACAATGTTCTTTCATATGTTTCGCAGCACTTTCTGTCCACGAGCCCAGCCAGTTATTAGCTGTGGATCGTTGTGGATCACGAACACAATCGATGAGACAATTTCGCACCGCCACGAGAAGACAATTAGTTTCAAAGCTCCCTAAACAATCAACTCAGCTTAATCATTTTTAGCAGATAACCTTCCTGTTGTAGTTCACTACTTTTTCTAACGAGGTGAATGCAGCAAGGAGGCGCCGAAAAAGAATTAAAAATAAAAGAATTAATACAATAGAAATGAATATGTACAATTCAGTGACAATTCACTAAATCGAAGATGCTTTCTGGAAGTTTTTTTAAAAATATGGCTTTGTTGTGTATTTGTCAATAACAATCCAAACTGATTTTGGAGTATGCATTTTATTTTATCAGAGATCTGATCCGTTTAAATCACGAAAATGTGAAAGAGGGGATTGCCCAGTGTGTAGAGAAGATGGAAAAGGACCGTGTGACAGACAGAGCGTGACTTATAACATAAAATGTGCTGAGTGTAATGACATTTATATCGGAGAAACATCAAGCAGCGCGTATACTAGAGGAAAAGAGCACATTAAGTCACTGGCCAAAAAGGAAGAGAGATCAGCCTTATGGAAGCACTGTAAAGAGAAACACAACAGTGAAATGCAGAAATTTGAAATGAACGTTACCGGTTCCAGGGGGCACCCAACGACAATTTTCGGAAAATTATCTGTTCGGAAGACGATTAGAGGTCTAGAATTTTCGGATCATTTTCTGACAAATTTCTTGCTTGCCTGCTTCTCCTAGGATTTTCAAACTTCAAAAAAATCGTATATTTGAAATTTTCGAAAACGTAAATTTTGATCCCTATAATTTTCGGATCACTATACTTTCAGCTAGGAAATCCGAACAGATGAAAAATTTTTAGGGGATAAAAATAAGCCTTTATCTACCGTTTAAATACTAAAGTACGTTCAACAGTGCTATGTTTATGTGGTTTTGAACTATACTCTCGTTGGGTGCCCCTGCGGTTCTTACTCCAACGACGCCATGTTGAGGCAGATTTCGGAGAATGTTCGGATAGATCAAGTACCGGAAGGCTCGTTGATGAACTCTAAGAACGAATGGAATTATTTCCGCGTTCTACGCGCGGTAGTCGCACGTGACCAAGTGAAATAGAATACACCATATTGGCTTACATGACACTGGCGAACACGCAGACTATTTTAGTGCATCTTACATGAAGAAAAAATTATTGACTGATGAGGCTCGAAGAGCTAAATATAATCCATGGATTTTAAAACATGTTTATTTTTACATTTTACATTTCTTATACGTGCGTAGAATGTGGTAAAGACGTGATGTCTTATTTTGCAAGTAGTTCAAGTTCAATTATAGTCACACATCAAGATAAAGATAAAGTTAATAACAAGCTTAAAAATACAATATAACTCAACTTCAAATTCGTCGGAAATTCGTGCATTTTGTAATTTATACATCATAGTCTCTCTTTTGTCTCGTCACGAAATTCTCCTAGCTTTGCGTGACGAGACAAAAATCTAAGACCTTGAAGACCATCTGATATCCTAAACCGAGTTACAATAGATTATTTACTACCGTTCCAACCCCTTGATCTTTCTACATTGGGCCGCACTTCACTTCCAGTATGGAACCCTTAATCAATAGTTCTTAGATTCAGTACTTAACGTACAGTGGATCAACCTACCATTAAACAAGTCCCACTGGCCAGATGAGGACTCATCTTTGCCTGCGATAAAAGGGAGTTTATTTAAAATTACCACAATTTATTTGATTTATTCACTATATTTGGTTCTCAAATATTTCTTTACAAAAGGCCGCTTTTAACATTACTGAATTCATGTAAGATGGAGAAGTTTCCCCCTTTTAAAGCTTAAAATTTAAAGGCTTTTCCCCATTTTAAAGATTCCTCGTTTTCGTAAAGATTCCTCATTTGAAAGATTCACGCTTTATATATTCCCCATTCCTTGATCCCCCGTTCCGACGGAAAATCCAGTGTGAAATATGAAGGAGAAACGTACACAGGGTAGTCAAACGTGATTGAATTTTAGAGAACGTAAAAAATAGTCGGTTTAAGCTGAGTGGAAAGTGGTCCCTGACTGTCCGGACAGGTTATTTTTGCTTTGCTTCTCTGCATAATGTTACGAAAGAGGATCGTCATTAAAACAAAATAGCTTTTCAGAATCACGACCGAGAGAGAGCTGCCTAGACGGATCTGTTTACTTTTGCTGTGAAAAACATCCTTGACATAAAACGGGTAGGGCATATTTTAGGATATTTAATTTCGACACTAAATTTCCACCTACTCCACTTAGTTTATGGGAGTTGGAAGTAGCCAACGACTTGAGGAAGCCTTCTGCAAACCGTTTAGTTCTCACAATTTACAAACTACAATTTTGGTAAGTTTTCTCCTTTTGGACCCGAATTAAAAAAAACCTTAAGAATTCAACTCCAGGAAAAGTCGCCTGCATTTGACATATTAGGGCCATTTATACGAGGAAAAATAAGACGTGTCTTAAATAAGACGCGAACTTTCCGTATAAACGGCACATTTCGTCTAAAATAAGACGCGGCTTAGCTAAGATGCGTCTTATTAGATAAGACATGCTCGTATAAATAGTACAGTTCGCGTCTTATTTAAGACGCGTCTTATTTTTCCTCGTATAAATGGCCATATTGAGCGGGTCCAAATAGATGGGATTAAGTTTGAAAGAACGCAGATTCATTTCTTTACCGACGTTTTCACAGTCGTCGTCGAACCTTGCTTAAGGTCCCTGATGATGATGAGGAGGACGACGACGACGACAATGATGCAGCATTACTGGTCCACAATCGGTCACCTTCTGTCTCCGACTGTATTTTACTCTACTCTATTTTTGAAATAAAGCCAAATTAAATGTATTCAGCGCTTGATGGCCGCTTAACAGAGGTGACAACAATGAGAGAACTTTCGCTAATTGAGGTGGCCGCTTGATAAAGGTTTTTAAATTTCCAATTCTTTTCTCACTACAAATTTTTCGGGACTTGGACTATCGGCCGCTCAATAGCTATAGAGGGTAAGCCACTTAATAGGTCGGTGCTTGATGGAGGTTCAACTGTACATATTTTCATTTAAAAAATAATCATATTGAAGAGAGGTAAAAGATTCGAAAGTCAAAATTCGATACAATAAACATCTTGATTACTCAGTAGGGCCATTTATACGAGGAAAAATAAGACGCGTCTTACATAAGACGCGTCTTAAATAAGACGCGAACTTTCCGTATAAACGGCACATTTCGTCTAAAATAAGAGGCGGCTTAGCTAAGACGCGTCTTATTAGATAAGACATGCTCGTATAAATGGTACAGTTCGCGTCTTATTTAAGACGCGTCTTTTTTTTCCTCGTATAAATGGCCCTAGTGTTAACTTTGGAATGCAGGAATGTAGATGTTCTTAAAGGGTATTCGGTAGTGATTCGTTACTGGCAACATGCTTTGTAAAGGTAAATTTACTTTCTTTGACGAGTAGCTTGAATTCGTTTCGAATGGACGGTCTGAAAAAAATGACTTTGAACATTATTTAGTGAATCAGGTGACGGCAAATTAGCATCCTGGAAAGCCAATCATTGCATAATACTGGTCCGTTGTTTATTCTTATCAATGAATTTTGCAAAAGAGGTTACTGATCAGGGGCACCCAACAAGGATATAGTTCAAAACCACTTAACACAGCATTGTTGAACGTATTTTAGTATTTAAACGGTAGATATAGGCATATTTTTATCCCCTAAAAACTTTTCATTTGTTCGGATTTCCTAGCTGAAAGTCTAGTGATCCGAAAATTATAGGGATCAAAACTTACCTTTTCGAAAATTTCAGCCAGGAAAAGGCTCCCGAAAATTCTAGGTGGCCTTTTCATGGGTAAAAATCCTTTAAAAATGGTTAATTATACCATTTTGTAGATGTTCGAAAATCCTAGGAGAGGCAGGCAAGCAAAAAATTTAACAACAAATGTTCCGAAAATTCTTGATCTCAAATCGTCTTCCAAACAGATATTTTCCGAAAATTGCCGTTGGGTGCCCCTGACTGATAGGAAATGATCTTTAGATACTATCTTTCTCTCAAAGACATTCATCTAGCTCTAGATTAAAGAAGTTTTCCTATCCTGTAGTCTGGAACTGCGTTGAGACGATTAAACTAATTTTTCTTCAATCTTGGTTTCCACTATTTAATTGCGCTGCCTAAGCGTTGAAGACACAAAACACCGATGCGTAGAAGACTACGTACAGGTTTCCCAAAACAAGGTCACAAATCACGGATTGAGAGAGGTAAATCATCAGTTACAAAGAAAGTTATTGTTGTCATACCAAGTCGCCTTAACAGCTCGTCTAATCGTTGAAGCAGTACCTCTTTTAACTGCTTAACTTCTTTCTTTAGGGAAGTGATTTCATTGGCAGCAGCACCCGAGGTACAAATCTGCTGTACTACGAATTTGCCGTCCGACAAGGTGACATTGTCCACTGAAACGTTCTTTGCTCCAGTCTGGGACCTGGTGGCAGCTGCATACAGGCAGGCGCTGAGAAAAAACGCAAAGGTTGTCTTCATATCCATAGCAAATTCTTTTCTTAATGCCTGTTCAATTTGGAGTAGAGACGTAGATCATTGTCTGCCTTTAAGTAATGAAGTTGACCTCCGAAACAACTTGTATCTATACCGTTAAACCTTGTGACGTCATCTTATTTATTTTGCCGGGGGTTTGGTTTCGATGTTTTTCTAGGACAGGGAACTGCACGCGTGTGTCTGAAAGTCGGCGAAGGACAATACAAACAAAATAGCACAACCTCGTGAAGCTACGGA